ACAAAGTTCTGGAAGACTCTTTATGGCTTGCTTGCGTATCTACAATTAAGGACACAGGATTTATTATCACATGATTGCTTTCTTCAATGACTTCTTGCTTGAGCTTCTTGCTTGCATTGCTTCAGCTTGAGCAATGTTATCACATTTATAAGACACTTGTGATTTTTTTTGTTTGCTACATACCTTCAATGCATTTTCTCAAGCATTGATAAAAACATGGAGGTTCTTCAGAAAAATAAACTGGCATTGCAAGAGATTATAAGAGCAACATTTGTTTGCATCGTATGCAGCAAATTATTCTCATCTACTATGCTGTATATTGAATTCATTAAGGATGGTTCAATTCTCTCTTAAATGTCTAGCCATCGTAAAAGGTATAACTACAGTATACCCCTGCATTTAATGACAACAAGTCAGCTTAGTATTGATTTTATACAAAGGCTAAAGCCTGGTTTACATATTGTTACAATCGCTAGGATCGCCACAATCGCCGAAACTATGTGGCTCAACGATCGTAGTGATCATATGGAAACACTCTCCAGCGATCCTGGCAATCCTAGTGACCTCGATTCCAGAGTTCGAGATCGCTAAGATCACCACATTTTCAGCGATCATGGTGATCCTAGCGATTATAAACCAGGCTTAAGATACCATTCAATATAGTCTCCTTCAAGGTTCCCAGTGTCATCTTGAAAGGTGTCAGTGCCTTAAAATCAAATTTAGATGACCGTCCGGCGTTGAGCTTGCAATAATAGATACCCTCATATGATTATCTGTAGGTATGAAGGCACAGCTACCTTTCAAGATGGTGCAGGAGACCATAAAGAAGACAATAGATTGGTGCTGGGAGCCATGAAGAAGACTGATGAGAACTCAAACAGTCTACTTTCTACTTCATAGATATAATAATAWCACAATTTCTCAGAGAATACATACAGCATTATCYTCATCTTCACATAAATCCAGYAATGCRTCRATGGCTTGGTCTTGCAGCTTTGGAAAATGCTTGAAGAATCGTGTGATAAAAGTTGATGCCAATCTTTTTTCTGCTGGTTCTCCCTTCACAAACGTTAACATTGAGCTGTACTCTTCTTCGTGCTGTAGATGACTTMAATTAGTTTTAACTTACATACTCTAAAGTAATAATACTAAAGAGTATTAAACTTTAATAGCTTATACAGCTCGTTTGAACTCTTCGTAATCTTGAACTATTTGAGTTATTTAAATACTTAATCTTTTATAAAAACGGTCGTAAAAGACAACTAAAAAACTAACAAATATCAAGGAATAGGACAGGTTTCTAGCTAAACAAATCGAACAATAACCAACAGAAGCTAATAGAAGACAAAGATTAACATGACAAGGAAGCCGTGCAAGCCGCCATATTGGATTCTCATACCTCGCCGGCTTTGTCTTTGGCATCAGCTAGAACTCCAAATAACCGATAAAGCTCTTCAACACCAGCCATACTTGAAGTTCAACTCGTAGAAAGGAGTTTGCAGARATTAAATGATCGAATTACAGTAAAAACTATATATTTTTGACAGTATTTGTCAGTCGGCTTGAGAATTTATTGAACCACGCTGAACCTCGTTTTGAGTCATGTGAGCCTGCGTTCTTTAAGTCAGCGAAGTCTTCAGCCAGACAGTAAGGGAGGGGAGGGAGGGGCACAAATAATAGAAAACTGGAATAAAAGATAAATGAAAGAAAAAGAGATTGAATAAGGAAACAGTTTTGATATTTTTTATTAAAAACTAAGAGACTATATGCTGGACAGAGCTGAACAAATCCTTTACAACATGGAAGCTGTCTTGAAAGTCCTGCGCTATTTCGCCACTGTGACTTCCGATTCCCAGAGCAAACACACACTACTGAATTCTTAGTATCCTTTAATAATTTCCAGCGACATGAATGAAGTTGTTATATTATTAGCTTGGCAAAACTAGTATTTGTGGAAAATGATATCATATACGTTGGTATCGGATACCTCTACCTAACCTCACCCCCAAATCATCCTTATNATATGTATAGTAGCCTGCCTAATAGCGATCTAACGGAATCTGATGCTTCGGCGGCTAGTTAGTCTCCTCGCAGCTGTGTTTAGTTTCGGWCRCGCRTCACGYAACCTCCCCGAGGCTGCGTGAYGCGTGACCGAAACTAAACACGGCTGCGAGGAGACTAGCGGCTAGTATGTACAGCTGGATCGTATTGTCATTTGTATTCATGATCCAAGTCAGCGTTCAATCAGTTATTGTTATGCGTGAATGAAGCAGCGTTCATTATTCAGTGTTTAAAAGTAACAAATATACAACGGGTGTTTAGGCTTTGAATTATACTGCCCTATCGCATAATTATATCACAACAAAGTATTTGACGCTAAGGATTATGGTCGTCATAAGGATCAGAGTTACTGCATATCACAATAAAATTGTTTGATAAATGATGTACATCAAAACTCGATATGCTAAAGTTCTACTTTCGGGAAAGAATAAGTTAGAATAAGTCTTTCCGAGCATCTATCCACAGTGTAAACATACTGTGACGTCATTATGCCATGGGGAAATTAAAATGTTTTTTAGAAATACTGATAGCTGTGATAGCTCTGACAATAATAGCCTGCGTTACATCCGGAATATTCTTTGATATATCCGTGAAATTTCCGGGATGTAACGCAGGCTATGACAATATAAAGGACTTAGAAAATTTCATCTTGAAGTAATGGATCTAAGTTTTAAACTAAGATACTCAGTCCTTTACGGACACAAAAACCCGCAGTTTATTGACTGAGTATCTTAGTTTAAAACTAGATCCATTACTTCAAGATGAGAAATTAAAATGGCTCGCGGCCATCAAGGTTCACCAKTTCAGTTGTYATGCSTACGAGTTGTGCTCTTTCTCACCAAAGTAGCATTCTAAAGGCCCGTTTACACTTGCGATTTTTGCAGCGCGATAATCGCCACTTTGCTATCGCACAACTAAAATCGCACGTGTAGACAGCGCTGCGCCTTGTTGCGGTGATTGGAAATGGCATCGAATGAATTTCAAGCATGTTCGAAACTCAGGCTGGTCGTGCGACAACTGCGCTGCAAAATATCGCAAGTTTATAAGCAGACCTTAAGTAACAATAGGCCATTTGCATGATGGYGTAACTTTACTACAACTACCAGAAAGCCTTGCGCATTTTCTTTKTTATTCAGATTTTTAATCCCCTTAGCGATTAGTAAAACAATTGGCACTAATTGCATTACAAAAGAAAGTGGGCAAAGTATTCTGGTAGTTGTAATAAATGACGCCATAATGCAAATCGCCTAATAGGCGATTGAAGCGCCGTATTGGTTTGGAATCAATTCATTCTCTCGCGGTCCAATGTTTAGTTCGTGGACTGGGTACGAGAACGTCCGCGTGTTGTGCTCCKTCTCATCAAAGTTGCCAGCCCCCGACGAAAATCCTTACAGAATCCGTAATACATGAATGCATTGAGCGCCGGGTGGAGATACGTAGCTACGACGAATGATCGTGCTATGATCATTATCCTTAAAATCGAAACGTAATCCTTTGTTTTGAAGAACCCCATGAAGACATACATGATRGTGTAGGGTAGCCAAAGCACAATGAAACAGAYTATGATTGCGAAGAGAAGTTTCAGAAGATGTTCGCGTCTTCTCTGAGTCTCCTGGCCAATCTTCCTGCTCACGACGAAGAGTCCAGCCTTTTTGATTGACATGATGATCTTCCCATTGGCGATCAAAATGATTAAGAAAGGAATCAC